CTGCGATTACCCCTTAAAGCAACAGTTCAGGAACGGTTTCGCGGGAAAAAACCACCAATAATGAAGTTGTAGATGAAAACCAGACGATTAATGTATGAAAAACTGGAAAAAAACGTCGGGGAGGGTCTTAGACAGGTACTCTCCCTCTGCCGCTCAGCAATGGATAAAGACGCACGTTGGACGAGTTGTCTGAACGTGCCCGCTGTAAACGCGCTCCATTTTTCAATCAATTTTCCCTGTGGTCCCAAAACGAGCACGATTGCCGACGCGTCCAATGACGGCCGGCAAGGGGGCGGGATTGGGGAAATCCCCAAGAACACCCATGTTTGAGGGACTTTCCACCCTGTTTTTGAGTTTCTGAGGTAAGTTCGTTTATTATTTCCACTGCATATGTTCTTCACTAGGGCTCGTGTATCCCTCAGTAGTAGTGGCATTGAAATTTTCGGACCCTCCCTGAACTGTTGCTTTAAACCGATAGTTTATCGTGTAGTTCAGAAAATCTCACACCTCCTATTATTCGTCGTGATGAGGGGTCAGGTATTCTAAAGGTAGCAATGCGCAAAGTCTTAGTTCCTAATTTAATCTCCTTTAGACACGCATGCTTTTTTTACAAGATTCACAAGTACCAGGAAGAACCCCCCATCAAACGTCGTATGTAGAAAAAGTCCTAGGACACATAACTGAAAGGATTAGAGAGCACTCACTGACCCAGCGCCTATTCACCCTTTCTCCAATTTTTTCATCGGTGTGCCCTTTTCCGAATGCAAGTCTTCGCACCGTGTGTATCACCCCTCTGCCAGGTAGACGGTCTTTCGAAACTGAATCAAACTAACTGATCGTTCAGTGAGAGGCCACCGAGCGGGGTGGTGCGCAAATTTATTCAAGTAATATTTTCCGTACTCTTTTCCGCTCTCATATACATAGATGCATCTATCTCGTTGTGTCTGCGTCTCCACCGGTGCCCACACTCTGTCCCACTGCCAGCACGCATCTTACCCAGAGGTGCGCGACTTCGCGCGAAAATGTCGTACCCACGCTCCAATTATGACCATCTTAAGCCTCTACAGCAGCCCTATTCTAAGAAGCAGGGGAGAGGGTCGCCATAATACCTGTTTTAATAGTTCTGAAGGATACTTCGTTGTTGAGACTTGGTTCTAACGCCAGTCCTCATCTTCTATGAACTCATCGGTTGAATTGCAGTCCATCGGCTACAAAGGCATTCTTCTCTATGGTACTGAGGAGCAAAAGAATAAATATCTACCGGATTTGGCAACAGGACGTAAATTCGCTGCGTTTTGCCTCACGGAACCCGGCAGTGGATCCGATGCCAATGTGAGTTTCTTCAGCTGCGATTGTTTTGTGTGGTGCTAGCCATAAAATATAAATCTGAGAATAGAAACAGATAAATAATTTCTAATTTAGTCGATCAAAACGCGTGCCGAAAAGTCCGCCGACGGAAAGCACTACGTTCTGAACGGCAGCAAAATCTGGATCAGTAACGGAGGTTTTGCAGATGTTTTCACCGTATTCGCTCAGGTTTGTGATACTTGCAGGCTTGACTTATTTAGCTGGTCATATCAAATAGTTACCTACATTCTGAGAGTATACTCAGTGGGTGGGCGGAGTTACCCAGCGCCGCCCGCTACGGATAGTCCCGCCCACATGTTCATCGCATGCTTTCTCATAGAGATGTTTTAACCAAATTCTTACAGACGCCTGTGAAAATGCCAGACGGCAGCACCAAGGACAAAGTCTCGGCGTTTGTCGTTGAGCGAGCGTTCGGTGGTGTGACAAATGGTCCACCGGAGAAGAGAAATGGGTATCAAGGGATCGAACACTGCTGAAGTGTACTTTGACAATGTAAAGGTAAGAATATCAGTGAAATAACTGTCTATGGTTTTTCAAGAAGCACCCATCCGGACCGTGACAGAGAAGGTACCGATAAAGTAATAACTTCGTATAGCATACATTATACGAACCTCATGATTGAATCCTATAAACTTTATTTCCTCCTAGAAAGTTTGGCAGAGGCACTTTTCAGTCCGTAGTCTCTGATGCTAGTGAAAAGATAGCTTTTTGAGCAGGTGTGTGGGATAGCTGTTGCAGAAGGTGGTAGGAACATTGTTCGCTTTTTTGCCGACAACTCCTTACCTGTCTGCTTCTCTCTTGTCTTCATGTTCTCTCGTTTCTTCAGCTCACGCACAATCTCCCGTCCTGACATACCATTCTTCTCCATAGATCACAATACGACTAAGCTACTACAAAAGTGAACCGTCGTTAATGGCGTTTCTGGCAGTCCATTTTGCTTCTGTTTTCAACTGTCGATTCACTAGTACAGTTTTGAGAACCATGGCCCAAACCCTGTTCTTTAAGAGAACGTTTCGCAGTGTTAGTCGCTATAATGGTTACAAAATAAATGTATCAAAGCATACGATAATACGAAGTTATTACGAAAAGCTAATTTCAATTTTTAGGTTCCCGTGAGAATCTACTCGGAGTGGAGGGTGAAGGATTCAAAGTGGCGATGAATATCTTGAACAATGGCCGTTTTGGTATCCCAGCAATGTGCACAGGAGCAATGAAGTACTGCATCCAGAAGACGGTAAGTATCCCTAAGCAGATATTAGACCTCCAACTCAAAATCACCCTTTTTGGAGGGAAATAGCCCTCATCTTACCTTTGATAAGTTGACGGCGGTGCTAGGAAGAAACTGACGAAAGACTCGGAATATTGCCCTCCATTTTGGCGAAAACCTGGAAGGAGACGTCGTTTTTTCCTCAGAAGTTCAGGGTCGGTTCGCAAAGGGGCCTAGTAGTGCTTTGGTCAAGTCAAATAGCAATTTGAAACCGAATTTTTTCTCCTTATCTATGGTTCCGAACACGCTCTAAACATTGGGATTTTGACCACGCCCTCGTACCTTGGTTGCGCTCCAAGAGCATTTTCGTAAATTTCATCCTGAACAAAAGAAGAAGTGATATATTTTGTGGAAATTTTCCCCAAAAAGAAAAAAACCGAAACGACTAAATCGTGAACATGAGAGAGAGGGGTTGGAACTGAAGAATTGCTGCCTTGTGGTACTCGAGATTCTCTAGTCATTATTCGGCGGAAGCTTTCGGTGTTAAACAGTCCCTTGAAGGGTGGGCCACGCATTCCACTTCCATTCAGAATCGTAGTGGCTTTTGAAAGTGGCATGGTTTATATAATGACTTGCGGAGGTCCAGCCGATGTACAAGTCAGTGTTTTTATCCTCCCAAACAATTCTGGTACCACTTGACCGATCCTAGGTAGATGGAAGGTTTGAAGCCTTAACAAATCCAATCCTCAAGGGGTGAAGGGGCTCCGGTGGCGAGTAGCGCCAATTCTCGCACACAGGGTCCTTCTCTCTCACTATCGGAACAGCGCTAGAGAGGCCGTGCCACTTGCCACCGAACTACCTTCCCTTTAGTTAACTCTCAAAAAATTTCGGTGTCCAATAGTTTTTTATGAGAACAACTTGACAAACAAACGCAGTGGAACGCAGTTCAATCATTGACCTTATATCTATCGGTGGCCGGGTATACGACAGGAAGCCCGTCGCGCGCAAGAAGGCAGGATCAGCGGACGAGTCCCAGCGCGTAGTGTAGTGAGTTCAGCGTTTTGTAGTGATGTCTGGGAGCTCTCACAAGTGCAACTATCATACTACTCTCCTCTTTCTTTATTTCTCAAACTTAGTCATAAACACAGTGTGTGTTTCACAGCTACGCTTCTCCCCTTTATGGTTGCCAGAGCGTGTTGAAACATAGCATTTTAGTCTACGAGCCAGTATGCGCGCTCGTCCCTGACTGATTTCTTGCACGCGAGGGCTGACTGTCGGTATACCTTTAATCCGTGCTAAAGTGGAGTGAACATGCAATGAGAAAAAACTGAAAGAAGGCGATACGTGGGGAAATAATTAGCGGAATGCCACTTCTTCTGTCATATATTTTATTAATTACTAGAGTGTTTTAGGAAACTTGCTTTTATCGGGAAATTATCTATATGACCTTATTTATTCCGTCAATTCTGATCGATCACTGGTACGCAACGTGTGCAGTTTGGTCAGACCCTGCAGGAGTTCTTCAATGTTCAGGTGGGTGCTTAAGGATTTTCTCAATGGAAACTGATCGATAATAATTGAATCATGCTTTTAGGAGAAACTTGCCAACATGGTCGCCCGTCACTACACTACCGAATCGGTCCTTTATCTGCTTGCTTCCAATATGGATCGCGGTATTCAGGAATATCAACTTGGAAGCAGCTATTGGGAAATCGCAGCATCGTAGGATTCTTTTTTGTCGTCAGATTCTTCATCTCGCTGGGCTGCTTAATATGTTGAATACAGCTCAAATTTACTTCATTTTAAGTCTTCTCATATTTCGGTGTAGTCTGAACTTGACGCGTGCGCTGCGACGGCGTTCTTCAAAATTGTGAGCATACCGCACCACAACCGCGGCTTCGAAGTTCTCTCGTGACTTACATTTTTGATTTGTGGAGCAAAAGTTCAAGATTTAAACGAATACTAATAGCCAATGAATTTTGTAACAATTGTGAACTTTGGTGATAGTATGATTTTTGCGAAAGAAGATTTCTGTCGTTTGCTGTAGTTATGAGGATACAAATTGATTAGGTCGACGCCTCACGCGCGAAGTATACACCATGTTTCTCAATAAGTAAAACCTACGCACAAGTTTTGTAGGAAAATGCCTGGTGGGTATGTGACGAGGCGATCCAACTGCACGGAGGTATGGGATTCATGAAAGACTGCGGTCTGGAACGGGTCATGAGAGATCTGCGAATCTTCAGGTACCATTGTCAGTCTCCAGTCATTGTTTGTCTTTGATAAACAAAAGGGTTTTCAGAATCTTCGAAGGTGCTAACGACGTCTTGCGGCTGTTTGTGGCGCTCACTGGAGCGCAACATGCTGGAAGACATCTTCAACAGGTGGCCAAAGATATCAAGTCTGGTAGTATTGGAACGATTTTCGGACAGGTGGTGAAAAGGGCAACGGGGTGAGATTTTTGTGATTCTCTGGGTAGAAGGAACTGTTATTTCAATTATTTTAATGCGTTCAGGGGAAGTACCGGTGCGGAGTTCTCTACTGTGGTAGAACCGGCCTTGACGGAATCCTCATTGAAGCTGGACGATTGTATCAAGGAATTCGGAAAGACTGTGGAGAATCTGCTTATCAAATACAAAAAGGATATCGTTAGTGAGTATTTGAAACTGTCTAGTAACGTACTTCCTCAAGGAGGGTAAGAAGGGTGACCGTCAAATCAGATGCTGGGTTACCGTATGGCACTTTAGAAAGAGTGCACTCCTTTTATGGTTCATTTTGAGTACCTAGTGGTGTTACGGCGAAGAAACAGTGGGCGCTAGGAAGAGAGATTAGACGGCAGCAGCGCACAGGGGCGAGAGACGCAGGTTATAGGAGTAACACAAATTCTCAGCGTCCCTTGCAAAGCTTTTTTGCCATCTGAAAGTGGCCGTGCATCCACGTCTGCGGACCCATTTATCACATTCAAGCGAGAGGTTATTGCTATTGCAAGGAAGTCGCGGAATGTGTCTTTGAGTTTGACTCCATCTTACAAGTCATGGTCTGGAGTTTCAACTGAGCCTCCGGAAAGGGATGAGAGCCACGGCGCACGGAAGTCACCATCGCTTCGGTGACTCACGCTGTGTTTGTGAAGGAACGCTCGTCTCTCCCGCCCCCACCCGTTCCCCCTGTGTATGGAATTTTCCTAGCCCCCTTGGTGGGTTTCCTGATTTAGCTTCCCAGTGTTGTTGGGGAACAGGTCAGTAATGTGTTCTTTCTGAGTTCACTAAGATTTCCGAAGCAGAGGTCAAAAAAGCCTAAGGTGTTCTTCCGTGAAATCCCTTGTTTTAGACCGACAGTACGAGCTGGTCCGTGTGGCAGACGCAGCGATCGATATCTACTGTATGATCGCGACGATTTCCAGGTTTGTACACTCCCCGTTTCAAGCGTTGGCACATGTCGTAATTGCAGAAAAAGTAACCAAGTAACCAAGTAACCAGTAACCAAGGCGTAGCTAGTCATGTGTGTTGCTCGTTCATGTATTTGATGCTGTCTGATACCAGATGTGCTCAAATATGCACGCGACGGGTCCCGTTGCGAAAAACGGATTTTAAACGTTGTGCTTTGAATAAGAAATAGGAAAAAATAAGGATAATTAAAGAAAGTGAAATTTTATTTAATTTTCTGCTAGAATCAAACGGCGTTTCAATAAGAAGGATATTTTTTGCCACTCTAAAAAGTTGGCCACTCACTACAATTGTAACAGGGGATTCGAGATAGGGAGGCGCTGTATTGGAATGGATACTCGGTTGTTTGAGCCTGATTGAATTCCTATTTGGGTTGACGCCATGCACTCTACTTCCACTTAAGATTGCACCAGCATTTGTGTGTGTATTTGAACAACAAAACAACTTGCGTGGACCTCTTAATGAACGTTCATCCTTTCCAACCCCTATATGGCTCAAGTAGTCAACTGCGAAGGGACGGAAGGATAGGTTGGCGTGTACGAGAATTGATCCGAGTTTGGCTCCTTAAGCATGTGCATCGTAGGCAGCGCCGTTTGTCGCTACCCTACGATCCTTTGAGCGAGTAAAAAATTTCGCATTTGGCGTTCATGAATCCCTTTTGGGATGCGGCACGCATTCTACTTCAATCCCGAATTCGTAGTACATTCGGAATGCGATGTGGCCTATACAATGACTTGCGGGGCCAGCCGATGTACAAGTCAGTGTTTTTATCCTCCCAGACAAGTCTGGTACCAATTAACCGATCCCGGAGAGGGTGATTGGCCTGGATGACCTACGACCCATGATTTGATCCCCAGACCGTGCGCATGGTAAACAGCGCCACTTGCGTCTAAACCCTCCAAGAAATATAAGAAGTAATAATTGGACCTTGACCAATCCTTCTTGAATGCACCATTCATCAATATCTTAGTAATCAATTATGACAGTGATAGAAATGACAAGTAAATACTTATAAAGATGGATTTGAACATTCAGGTGCACTCACTCATGCAAGAAGAAGGCAGCCAGTGCTGCATATGAGAAAGAAATTACGAACTACTTCTGCAGTATTGTATGTTTTCGTCTCAGTTTGTTATTTTTGATTTACTGATTATTTTTATGGTTATCGCCATTTTAATAATTATTGTCGTTGCTGAAAATCTAATCATTCCGTTAAAGTTGTTATTGATTAATCACAGTTGG